TTGACCAGTGTGAGCGCCACTTAGCACCTATTTAGCAACAGCTTAGCACTACTTAGCAAGAACCAAAGCATCAGTGCATCATCGACATTGTTCTCATCCTAAACCCAAAACACAGCCCCATACCAGCTACCAAGACGAAAATTAACTCTATCCCAGCTGAAACCAGGACATTAAGTATGTCCTTTTTCCATCACTTAGTCTAAATAATAGCTGAATATAACCAGAGGAATTATGTGAGGGAACATGACACTATAATGGAGACAGTGCCAAAAAGATGGAATAATTGCATTGTTGCTATGTCTTCAGTATACAGAAAGAAGTTTTTGCAACTCAGTGACCCAAAATACAGCATTACTAACAGTAAAGTTTGTTAATGTAGCTCATTTTCTAGAAAGCAGTAAAAACTAAGAAAGATCACTGAACAATCCTAGAGTATCATTTCATTACAAGGAAGATAATAAATCTCAGTGAAGTGTCCATGGAATTAAAGTATATTTTATTGCCTTTGAGGTTGAAGTAAGTCCTTTGGAAAATGCCATTCAAGTGGTTGAGAACAAAAACCAGGAGCTGAGAACACTGATCAGCCAGTACCAGCATAAACAAATGCATGGTAACATTAATCTTCTCAGCATGTGTCTGAATGGAGTGATTGATGCAGCTGTTAATGGGGGAATTGCACGATACCAGGAGGTAAGTCAGGCTCTGCTTCTGAAATTAGCATCATCTTTTTTCAATTTTATTTCTATTTCTCTTTCAAAGAGAGTATGACTTCATAAGATAAGACATTTTCATGCACATTATCTAAATATGAGGTTAAAACCCCTACTTGGTTATTCTGCATCAGTGCTTGCATAGCCACACGTCAGCAGGAGGATCCAAAGGTGGAGTTGGGATATCGCATTGAAGTAGGTACGGCTGACAGTGGGGTTTCTCAAGAATGAAACTTGGCTTACCTGGAAATCCTGACTTGGCAGGTAAAAGAGTGAAGATTTTTTTCATACTGCTTACATTATAAATCCATTTTGCAATAGAGGCAGTGGGACTGATTGGGCTTGTAATCAGGAAAAGCCGCTAATTTGTGCTACTCAACCATTATCTTTGCTAGCCTAATTTCAGACTCACTGTAACCCTAAAATGATCATATATGCAGTATGTTATCTGGCACAATCTTTGGCAAGCCGTTACTTAAATTCTGCATTGCAAAAGGTAAGTCTAGGGTGAAATACTGCAAAGTGGCAGCAGTGGTCCAGGGGTGTGCGACATGTCTTCCCTAGAGAGCTGTGAAGAGAACGCTCTTTCTGCTTTACATTAGTTACCACTTTACTCACTTAATTCCTTTAACTTTATGTGAAAGAAACTATATGAAATACAAATAACTGGATGATACAAGGCTTACTGGTATTGCTCATCACTATCACATGGGGAAACTTGATCGGATTCATGCATGAATTCAACAGAATCATCAAGGTTGCTAAAACTGTGCTGTAGCTCTACCTGGATCCCAGAGTGCTAAAAGCAATAAAATTGAGCTGCTGCTGTTAGCTTCATATATTTAGTTTTCCTAAGATTTTTGGACCTTCTCCTCTCATCCTTTGACACCAAGTCACAATGAAATATCTTCCAGTAATCAGAAGGCTTTTTTTTTTTCTACAGGCCTTCTTTGATAAAGATTATATCACAAAGCACCCTGGAGATGCAGAGAAGATCACACAGCTCAAGGAACTCATGCAGGAACAGGTACTGGTTTTCAGATGCATTCAGAAACAAAGAATTTTGGTACAGGAGATCTAAAGTGCATTTAAACAAAAAAGAGGGGGGAGATGCCCAAGGAGTTTATGAACAAGCCATTCACCTTATGGGACATGAGGTGAAGCTCAGCTAAAAGTACATGAATTTTGTTGTCTCCACTTATTATCCAATAGACATCTTGCCACGTTTCAAGCCTGCCATTCATTTCTTCAACAAATCACTTAACTGCATTTCAGATTTCCCATCTGTAAAATAAAGATAATGCTTATCTCCCTTCAACCCTCATAAGGATGTCTGAAGATTAATTAGTTATTGTTTGTACAGACTTTGGATCATGTAGGGAATTATATACATCTTAAGCCTGCTGTCATTACTATTTTCTTTCATCTGAGACCTTATATAATATCATTCAATCACTAATATTATACATTTGACCTTTGAAAAAGTGACCTTTAAAAATAAATAATGAGCAACAGAAAGAGTGACTATGCACGCCACGCTGCCACTGTTCAGCTCAATTATCAGAAACTCCTTTTAGAAATCTCTGTTGGCAACTTTGACCCCTTCTCTGACACCGGGTGGAAGGAATTTTCTTTGTCACAAGGAATTATCTGTGAGGACATAATGCCATTCACTCTGGAGAGAGAATCAATCTGGTAATTTTTTACAGTTATCTCTTAACAAAAGTAATCCAACATGACACAAATGTACTTGTCTCACACGTAAAGTACTTGTTGAAGTAATATGAACTTGCCAGGCCTCCTAGGCTTCCTTAATTATCAGCAGTCTTGGAAATGAACAGTGGCATATTTTACAGTACTTTCTTGCACATTGACAGAACTGTGGAACAGGCTTCTATTCTCTCTCTTAGAGACAATTTGTTTGGTTTTGTGATGTTATGTTTTCTTTTTAACAGGTGCATGTCTTAGGAGTGGGTCTGGCAGTCCATGAGAAATTTGTACACCCAGAAATGCGTCCTCTGCATAAGAAACTGATAGACCAGTTCCAGATGATGCGATCCAGTCTGTACCATGTAAGCTGACAGTAATTTTTCACATTTTGAATCATTCAGAGTTATGATTAAACTTCTGTCAGTTGCAGTAAGGTTCACAAAAGAAGTGGGCTGATACAGCATTGATTGAACCTACTGAATTGCCAAATTATCAAAAGAATTCTTGACTTCTGTGCAAGAAGGAAGTCCTAGTAAGTCTGTTAACTTAGCATTTAATTTAAACTAGAATTTTTAATATTTGTATGTTCTTTGTGGTATCACAAAACAATTGTAAAGTTTAATTTTCAGTTACTGTCTTACATAGTAGAAAATGATGTAAAACAGAGGAAGAAAGATTAACAGAAAGCATCAGGTGTTGAGCTCTTCAAAAGAACTGCCGTAATTTGGAGTAGCATGACATGGATTAGGCCCTCCAGAAGTGTTTTTATATAGGCAGCGACAGAAATTCCTGTTGGTTACTTAAGGCATCCAGCTCTGGTGATCAGGACATTCACTCTTATGGGTCTATAGCTCCTATAAAGTCAACGGAACTGCCTCCAGACCTTGGTTCACACCACCTGTTATATACCAGTCATCCTCTAGGAACGATGCCTTTCCTTCTATGTGTGCTCTGCTGTACATTAGCATTCCGTGACAACTATACTTGAGACGTCTTTGCCAGGTGGGTCTCAGAAATTTGCAGTGCATTCTCCTCTTCCTGGTGTAGTGAAATCTTTATGGATGCCTAGACACTATCTTGAACATTATCGCAACGAAACTAAAGGATATCTTTCTATAATGTAAAAGTATTCTTTGAAATGTGTCTGTTAGCACTTTACTTTCCAACTGGAGTATGTATTTTCTAAGGTAGCTTCTAACTTGAAGGCTTTTTCCTCCATTCTTAGGAGTGAACTCTATGCAAGGATGGCCAGAAATAACAGCACCAGTTTTAAAATATGGCCTTTCTCTTTCAGAGCAGATGACATCTGTACAGGTCACAGTTGCCAGTTTGAGTTCACTACCTTTCTTGAGAGTTTGGACAAGATCTGTATTTTTGAGTCCACATTTCTTTTTTGAAAAATGTAGGTGGCTGTAATTCGGGCCACACACACTATGCCTCTATTTTCTTCCCAAATTCCTGAAATAGCGGCTAGAAAGTGTTATGGGAAATAAACAGAGAATAGGCTTGTACAGCACTGAAGCTCTTTATCCTGTGGAAACGCACTTGTAATTTTCCATGACCAACTTAGCTTAAGTATGTTTCCTTTGCAGGAGTTACCTGGTTTGGATAAGCTGAGTCCGGCCTGTTCTGGCACTAGTACACCACGCAGCAATGTTCTGGTTTCGCATGGACCTATGAGCCCAGAGAGCATAAAGCTGGTGCATCGACACAGGTGCCCTGTTTTTTTTCTACTGAAATATCTAGGATCTCTGCACACTGTTGCATTAAGATTCAAGGATCTAAGAAGTGGTAACAATACTGCAGGATGAGTTTTGGCAGAAGTGTCTTTCATCTTCATTCAGTGCTAATTATTAAAGTTTGATTGAGGATTGGAATCAAAAAGTTGAGAAATCCAATTTGCAGCAAATGCTACACACCTCCAGGTGTTACTCCATCACTTTACTTACTGTAGAGGCAGAAACACACATCTGCCACTCAGATCTCCAGATTCAATCTAACTTTGGAGGTTCCAACTTCTCCTACTTCTGTTATGCAAACAGCAAATAAATGGGTCCTTATCTACCATAAAAGGAAAACTTTATTGCTTATTTTAGAGCCCAACTCAGTATGTACCCATTTTTAAGGATCAAAAAATGTTCACATCATTGTTTTTTATAATTCTGATCAAATCAGTACCAACATATAAGAAAGGCTGCCAAGGTGTTTTGATGAGAATACCAAAAGATGGCTCAGCCTTCACAGAAATATCTGAAAATGTGGATGCTTATTCAAACTGAATACCCATCTATAAAAACTGAGATGATGATTGAGGATAAAAATTGGGATTTTCAGGGCAAAACAGTGTTTTTGTATCCAGCCAAAATTGCATATTTGAAAAGGCACATATCCACGCCAGTACGAAAAACAGCGACAGGAATGTCACTGAAGTTACAAAATTTTAATTGTTCTTCCATGTTTGTTTCTCTTGGTGGGTCCACATAGTTGAGCTGTTTTTAAAGCCTGGCATGAAGAGCTGCAGAAACTGCGTCTTTAGTACATGAATCAGGATGGTGACATTCTTTTTACTATCAAAATTGAGGAGCTCTTTACTACTTTAGTGGCTTGGCAGTTGACAATTGGTGTTAGGTGATAAAATTTTTTTCCTCAAAATTCCTCACTTTGTAAAGCCATTTTTAGTTCTTAGGGCAAACTAGGGAGATTCTGTGGTGTACAAAATATGTATTTGTGTATGTGATTCAGAGTGACAAAGAAAAAACTAATTTAATGAGTGAGATCGGGGTGCAGTCTGCACACCAGCTGGGCTGTATTAATTTACTGTCAGCTACAAAGTTGCCTTCAACAGTAATGCTGAAGTCCAACAGATGCAATAAGGAAAACTGTATTTTGACCTGTGTGTCTGATGCTTGGCTTCCTTCGGAATGTTTTTTTAAGCTGCTCCCACTCATCATACTTCAGCATTAAAAATGAGAGTGGTTTCAGAATGTTCCGTTATAAACAAAACAAATATGCACCCAACGTCATGACGTGATGTTAACCTGGCTTTGGATTCTGAAATTCTACATCCTACCTACTATGTTGTCTTACATGTACCCTTATTGTCACTTCTTTCATATTTACCGAATTTATGGATTTGTTTAAGCTTATTCAGCCTGATTTTTCAAAAGTGTTTGACATCTAGAGGTGACCTCAAGCAGTAGGTAACTGCAGGTACTTACTAGCTTGGAAAAAATCAGTCTTCACAAATTAAAACACAGGTTCAAAAAAATAATGATGTCCTTGTTCTGTCTCTGTTTTTATTCCAGCCCGCTGAACTTGCTTGGTTCAGTCCGACACTCATCATCCTCTCTGTCATCCCACACCTCCAGCGAAACAGGGAACCTGGTTATCCTAACAGACAGTTCTGTGGGGGAGACTGCTGAGGATATGTACCACATGCAGGTACAGCTCCAGCACAGCCAGGAGCGGTTGTTAGAAACGGCACTGAACGTGCTCTGGAGGGTTATGCTTAGGAGGAGTACACTTTACCTATGCACATGCTTGGATCTGTCCTGTGATGTTTTTCTCGAAGAACTGAACAGGTAGAATCTAACACTGTTCAAGAAAGATGACAGAGTAATTCAGATAGGTTTACTTTGGGAAGAAATCTTCTGTATTTTTACAGTGAAAGTTGCTACTGCGGTCCAAGATCATACTCGCTTTCCAAAAGTGAGATTTTAGTTGGCGTGTTATTTATGTGACCTGTTCAACATAAGCAGTGCTCTTTGTGGGAGGGTGAAATGAGTCCCACAGTCCTGAGTGCAGATTTATAGTGGCCTGCACTGAAGCTGTTTCCTAGACAGAGGCTGCACTAGGTGATCTGAGACAGGTAAATATCTAATGCACTGATCCGCTCAGTTCTCTCTTGACGGTTTCTCTGCCTCCTGCAGCTTGTTTACCCTAACTCCAGGTACCAAGGCTCAGTCACCAACGTCTCTGTTTTATCCTCGTCCCAGGCTAGCCCTTCCACCTCAAGCCTGAGCTCTACTCACTCGGCACCGTCCCAGATGATTAACTCTGCCCCTTCCAGTGCTCGAGGTAAGAATGGATGGACCCAAACGAAGGGTTAACTGGACCTGCAGGCATCCCCTAAACCTGGCAGTGTTGTTGACTTATTGCTGAAAGACCACCTACACTAAAATATACCACTGTTTCTCTTTTGGAGCTATAAATGCCTCTTCAAAAACTGTTTCTTAAAAAATGTTTTTCATTCTCCAGAAATGGATTTAATCATTTTTTTCAGCAGTATTTGGAATGTATCTCTAATACATGCTGGTTTCAGGCAGTTGAATTTCGTACTAATTTCCATTGTTCCATCACAAAATTGTGGCAGACAATCTAGAGGAAAACAATAAGTGTCTTTGGTACAGTACTTCAGAGAGAAATCATGAAGACAAAGGCAAAAAAATCATTTTACATGTTTAATGAAATTATGGCACAAAAAAACCTTGAAGCATTTAGCAGAAATGTACGTATACGAAAGCATATGTATACAATGAATATTGAAAGATATGAATTTTAAGTACTGGAGCTAAAGGAGGGCTTCCCTGCTGGGAAATTCTTGAAGAAAGGAAAAATGTAGAAACAGACTCTCGGGGTACTCATATTGCCTTTGCTGTTACAGTAGCTGGTCTTGATATTGCTAATCATTTTCTTCCCCAGCCTCAGAGCTGAAGCAAAACCACTCCGTGCAAACTCCTGACTTTGGTAACTTCTATTCAAGTTATTTTTTCCTCTCATTTTGGATTCTCAGTTGCAGGTTCACAGATTTCTACACCTCTTTTCACAGGTGTCTGAAGAAATTATCCAGGATATAGTCAGAGATAGAGGCTGATATTTAAATCTTACCCCTTTTTCCCATACTGGGGAACTGTATGTCTCCTTATGGACAGAGAATACAGAGAAGGGCCCTTTCTTTCAGGCCACATTGGGGCTTTTTTGCTCAATCTTGCAGTAAAATCTTAATTGGCTGGCTGTTGTTATGACACAGATGCATCGAAGGGATTTAATTGAAGGAAGATGGAGTAGGAAGGTGAGAAGTGGACATCTTCAAATAAAGGCAAATACCTTCACTATTTACCAAGTGCTGGAAGGCAAATAATGACAATTCAAATAGTAACCAGATGAAGCTGGCATAACAGGAAAGGGAATATGGAACTGAGTACAGGGCTATCATGTCAGGAAGACGTCCTTAGATGGATGTGCCTCAGCTGGCATGTGAGGTCTGGATCTTCTGGGGGATCTGAGGGGTTTTGGTGCTCAGAGTGTTTCAGGCTATTTTCCACTTTAAAAGTCCAGTGCTCACAGTGACAAGCTGTGCCAGTCTTTCTGAGCTTGATGACTTCACAGCATCACCAACTTCCCTCTTTACTGTATTCTTTGCTGTTGCTTAGAAACCAGTGATGAGCGCTACACAGGGTATGGTGCTGATGGATGAGCCAACAGCACCTCCCAGAGATGAGAACTAGACAGTGTAAATGACCACAAATGAGGAAACAATAAGAGAAGTAATGATTTTGAAAAATACTTCCAATATATATACCTATTTTATTCTTCACTCTTCCTAACATGTTTTGATAGCCTATGATACAACATTTCTTCTCTGCTAGTTTTGTTCCCTTTTAAGTTAGGTGAGCACAGCATTCAGACATTTTACCCACTGATTGTGGGATTTCACTTCCAGCAAAGTCCCAGATGCTGTGTTTCACAGTGTGCAAGTCACTGCTCCGGTTATTACGACACCGCTGTCTGGAATGGAGTTGTTCATAACGAGAAAAAGCCCTTACACTTAAGTTCCACTGTGGTAATACAGCTTTGTTTTTCTCCTTGGTGACTTTTCCTTTTGTTTTGTTTTTTAATTGGGTGAATTTGATGCTTGTGAAAATGAGACCAGTATCACTGGCTGGAGCAAGGTACTTTACAAAGATTACATGTGCAGCTCTGCCAATGCACCTCTATCCTTTTTTTTTTTTCCCTTTTTTTTTGGTATTTATTTATATTCTTTTTAATTTAGTGCTGGTGAAAGGTGCTGGATTGACAACACTGGAGGCTGAAGCCCTCTATTTATCCACAGAACAGATACAGCATGGGCGGCAGCCGTGCAAGCTTCCCCACGCTGCCCCCACCAATGTGCCTCATCTCTGTCCTGGAGGGACCACCTCTAGAGGTGAGAGGATAGTTCAGTCACCATGACCCATCCAATCCTTGGCCTTTCTGCTGAGACTGCCAACAAAAGCTACGATAGTCACGATGCTGCAGCTAACTGCTTTTCAGACTGGAAGTATACAAAGGCCAACAATTCATTTCGGACAGGCCACCTAAATTTATCAACTTAGCATCTTTGTCACCTGTGGCTTTAACCTGAGCACAGTTATCGAGGATTTCTAGGTTTTTGTGAGATGTTTAAATGCTTCTCTCATTGATTAATGTAGAGATGAAAAACCACTACCCCATTATCCAGATACTTATACCACCTTCTCTGTTTAACTGCAGAGTCCTCTCTGGAGCTCAGCTACTAGCACTGTTCTGAGGAGACGGGTAGATTAGTTCCATTAGTGACCAAAGGAAGCCATGGCCATTTGTATTAAGAATCCAGCAAAGTTAAATCGTATTTCCAATTCTCCACTTCCAAAAATTGACCCTTTCATTTTTAGAACAGCAACACAAGCAAATTATTTGGCTTGTCCAAAGAAAATAATAAAGCCATTAATCCAAAATTTTTTTAAAGGATAGTCATCAAGACAGTAGCTTAATGATTTGATCGTATCACTGAACAGCAGATTAAAGCAGCAAACCTTACACTAGTTATAATAGACACAAGTTAGAGCAAAAGTCTTAAACAGAATTGTAATCAGAATACAGTAAGAATTTTCTAATTCCTTGCTAACGATAAAGACATTACTAGTTACTCTATTTTTCAGATTAACAAGTATGTGTCTTCAGTTTTCACGTGGCTTGACCCTTGTGTAGCTTCTTCCCTATCAAGAAAGCAACACTGTTGTTGTATGGAGGATCAATAAGAAATTCAGAGTTTGCTTTGGCTTCATTTGAGGTGACTCATGAGGCACTGCTCCAACCTTGCTGGAGTTAAAAGATTATGTAAGCCAACATTCATAAAGCAGAAACTGTAATAAAAAGGCCTGGAAAGAGCTAGGAGTGGGTTAGGTTTTTTTCAGTAATTTCATTTAAAATATGGTTGGGACTCCTCTGATGCACTCTAAAAGTAACTCCCACTTGACACTGGATGACTCGCCTCCTAAGGCTTCCCTACTGCTTCCTCAACACAGCCCCATTTTTAAGGTGTAGAAAATGAGTCCTGGTGTCTTATTCAGCACGTTGCAAGAACCCATATACTTACATTAGAAACTTCCTTCTTAAAGCAAAAAAGTTATGATTTGCTGCAGGACTGAACTGTTTTCATAACAGTAATGAAAATGATGAATCAGGAGAAAAGATTAATTGAGTTTGGAGTTTAACTGCATTATTTTCAGTTTCATTCCTTACAACTAATACTTGTCACAAGTGGATTAACATTTTCGTAATTAAAAAAGAAAAACTACCTCTGGCTTCAGCATAGGTTTTCCTTTCTCATTAATAGTATGTACAGTGCTGCACATATCAAGTGCACCAAGCTACAAGCTAAAAGGAATAAGCCCTGATACATGCTGCAGCATTTTATATGGCCACTGGCTGCTCTGGAAGCTTTTAAAAGCTTTTTTTTACTTTGTTTTTTACGTTTTGCCAGTCCCTGAAAGGAGCCGCAGTGATTGTGCTCTCTCTCTGTCCAAAGAAGCAGGCCTGATTGTTAATAAAAGCTTTGGTTATAGCCATTCCTCTTGTGGCCCACAATTCAGAGGTATCAGTACTTAATTTTATTTGCAGACTGAATACTTGGCATAATCTGTTACAGTCTTTTGTAGTTATAGTATAGTTATTTACAAATTCAGGGTACCAAACAGCAGAGCTGTTTTGTAAACTGGACTCTGCCGCCATATTTTGCACATGTGGGATTTTTCAGGTCATGCAGTGCAAGGTCTGTGGAAACTATAATCCCATATAAACTGATGGCACATAGAGGTGGTTTGCATCTTGGATATAAAAGAAAAGGACGGCAAGATAAATAAAAGGGAAAAGTTTACAGTGTAGGTTGTGCTGTGATATAGTTCTGGGCACACCTAAAAGTTCAGCATCATTACATTTGTCATGCAGAAACAGGACTACCTGTGATATGTGAGTAAAAGAGACTCAGCATAAAGCGTTAACACTGTGTTTTCCAAGCTGATGTTGTATATAAGAGCAAATAATGTTGTCTAATTATGTTTCTGTTTTATGTCTGGGGAGAAAATGAGTTCGGAACTAGAATGCAGATACTCCGCGGCTGTTCGTGTCAGGGTGGGGGTGTAGATTAATCTGGGATCTGCCACCCCTGATGGAATTGTTGCAATTGTAGGACCTTATCCTGCATTCTGCTGGACACATTGTTCCTTCCACTGTGTGCTGAATATCAGTCCCAAAAACTGCATGTTTGCTTTTGCTGGGGTAAAAGCTGCATTAACCAGCACCAATGCCTTTGCTCATACGTTGGAGTGCTGTTCAGGTAACGTGTATGGTTGTGGAAAGTTTGCAAAAGGGGGCATGTATTCCCCAAAAGCCAGCATGGCTCTGTAATGCGCTGTGTGCTGCCATCTGTTAAGTGCGTGTTTGTGACACAATGGAATAATCAGTGCAAATTAAAGCTCACTCCAGCAGCTTCAGAACATCAATTCCTGCCTAATATTGTGCATCCCAAGGGATGCATCTATCAGTAGTATCAGACTTTAGGAAGTCACTACTGGGAATCATTCTTCTGGCAAATCCGTTGTCAGCTGTTGCATATCAGAAGGCATATTGTCATGTGGCACTCATCTTGACGGACATGAGTCCCAAATAATTCCACGCGCCAGGAAGCTGTTTACATGAAATACCCCAATATCTTAAATGACAACTACACAGATAACTAATAGTTAAGTCAGGCATATTCCTACTATATATCTCCAAGCATTGGTAAATGTCCTGTTGTCATAAAATGGGTCAGTATACCAACACGCTCAGTAGTAATAATACATTACCCAGCAGCATTATAAGCAAAGTGCCACCCACATTTATAGAAAATTCTATTTATTATTGTTTTTTGTTTTGCTTTAATGAAGAGGAAGCTAACCAAGGTATTGCCAACTACATGGCAACACCTCAGGCTATCTCTACCAGAACTGAGAAATGAAGTAGCTTCCTGTAGCTTCCTGCTTTAACTGAATGGTGTATCTCAAGCTTTTATCCCTTTCTTCCACATTCAGTCCTAAAATGCACAATTTTATGGCATTTCTATAACTCTACAATACTTTATGGGGCAAGGGAGCATTAGGCACTGTACACCACAGCCGCAGCTGATTCCACACAGATGCCCACTTTTTGTTTGTTTGTTTCAAGAGGAAGCACTTTGCAACACACAACTAGGGACACATTCATCTTGCACACCCTACACGGTATGTCCTCAACGGCATATAACAAGCCCGTTCTTATTTCATCCTCGTGCTACGCACCCCACCAACAGTTAGCTGCTTAGTGGGCTCGGCACCATGTTTTCTTGAGTCCTGTAAGATCATCCGTCTGAACAAATTGCAAAGGAGGACTAGATCACTGGGCATGCGGAGACATGGCTGTTGTTTGTCACGTGTACGTGATTATTCTCACTTGTTTACAGGCTCTCCCTCTCTACCAGATAAGTACCGCCACTCTCGGGAGATGATGATGTTGCTGCCAACCCATCGGGACCGACCTAGCAGTGCCATGTATCCTGCAGCTATCATGGAAAATGGACAGGTAGCAGATCTAATTTCTCTAATGTCAGTTCAACCACCTGAAACTGTGATTTTATTTTTACTATTTTTGACCACTTTAAAGCTTCCCTTTTTATTTTTGGAAAGCACAACAACTAAGTTAGGATCATTTTCAGAGGCAACGCAGATCTTTTCATATTAATTGCCCTCTAGAGCCACCCACTTTAGTAGTCAAGTAATGCAAATTGTAATGGCTGTTAAAATTACAGATACACACTGTGAAAATGGACTCTTCTTACTTCCCAACTTTATCCCATGAGCCCTGGTCCACTGCAAGCAGTCATACCATTATTTTATTTATTCATTTTTCTAGAACCATGGCCATCCTGCAGTCTAGCCTCAAAGTTGATTCTAAACAGCTTTATGGTGATTTCCAGAGGTATCAAAAACCACGAGAGGCTGAAATAATATACTGATACAGAGTCTCCAAACAATCTGTGCCCATATCTACTAATTTCTCTGGACAAACTGAAAAATTCAGGGTGTGTCTACATGTAAACATTTTAATCTGGCCCTGGCATGCACTTTTGAAGGGAATCTCCTGATCATGCCCACTAATCGCACTTCAATTCACCTTAGAGAACTGTCTCAGAGCATGCAAACTCAACTCTTTCAAATGAAACCAAAGCAAAAAGTAAGCTCCAGAAGGGCACGTGATGCATTAGAGCTGATAATGGGCACAGGACTAGGCTAGAGCTAGTTTGAAATAACTCCTCCAGACAACACAAGCAGCATGAATTGTGGGTCCTCAGCACTGTTAGTATTGCAGTGCAGTACTTGCTAATGTAGACACAGCCTAAGGTTCCCATGAATTTTTTAATTAAAAAACTTCCCTTGCTTAAAAAAAAAAGCAAATAGAAAGCCCCAGGGTTCTGCACCAGCTGTTCTGGTTTGTTTTGATTTGGTTTGGGTTTTTTTTTTTATTTATTTTTATTTTTCTGTGCTAACTTTTCTTCTCCCTTAGCCTCCAAATTTCCAGCGCGCCTTGATCCAGCAAATGATTGGGCCATGCAAACCTTGCAGTGATCCCAACCTGTCTGTGGCTGAGAAAGGTACTCTTTTTCCTAGTTAGCATGCATGCTTTCTAAAATACTATTACTCTGGTCATGCTACAGCAAGTAACAAATGGGCTTCTACATTTCCTGGCAGAGTGCATTCTCTCACATTTTTTTAATTAACAGTTTAATTAACTGGCCTTCTGCCAACCTATAGTCATTTCAGATCATTCACAGAAGGGTGGAGTTGCACAAACCTCTTTATTTCAGAAAGCTTTCTGAGTTTAGCATTTTGTTATTGAAACAAATCCTGTCGCCTTTATCAAGCAAAACTTCCAAAGCAGCAATTGAGAAGTTATTTGAAAGAAGAGTGCAAGATTTGGACTATATGCTTAAATAACGAGATATACTGATTTTTTTAATATGCATTTATTGCTCAAAATATTAACATTTCTTGTAATCCCTCTCTGAGGTAGTTTTATATTTATTTAAGTTTATTATTAGGAATGTATGCTTTTTTAACTTACTGCTTTGAAAAAACTAGGCAAGAGCTCCTGCAGATAAAAAACATGAAAGAAGAGGAGGAGTTACGTTTGTTTGGTGTAACAGAAAAGGAGGAGCTTCCAAAAGGGGTGCCATGGACAAAGTGATGGGCTCAAAAAATGATCTGAAAGGCAGCATTTTGAAAAAGCAGAAGTGGGCAAAATTCATGAGTCAAAAATCTGAGACAAGGAGGCTGCCTAAGCAAGCAGCAGTCATGTGTATGGCTAGAAAAAATGCTATCTTTTTATGGCCAGGAAAGACCATCGCAGTTCTCTAGTCTGACCTACCTAATGCACTCCATTAGACTTTTATCAGTATTTTTGTTTCAGTAGCTGTGTCTGAACCAAATTGTATTTTTTTTTAAATCCAAATTTTATTTTAGAATTTCTAATAAATCAGAATACACTACTTCAATAATGTGACAGCCTTACAGAGCGGTCCAGATTGAAACCAAAAGCCAATGTACAGTTCTGAATAAATGGCAGAATGATGATTTGATGACAGTAACAAAGGATGACAACAGAGTTAAGACTAGGGGGTGAGGGATTAAGAGCTCCATCTTAGCCATGTTAGTTTGAACTGAACATATCACAGAGGTGGTGAGATCTTTATACTGGACAGGAGAAAGATCTGAAAAGGAAGATACATAAATATTTATTACCTGTCTCGAAAAAAATACTTGAATTTGTATTTGTGGGCAGTATTATGCAAGAGTGTAGTATACAGCACAAAGAGAAGGGGATCAAAGACAGAATCCCCTCCAGAGGCCCAAAGGAGCCATGAAAGACACAGATGATGTTCAGTAATTGTTCTTAGGGGATGGTGTGACAGGAATCCCAGCTCTTCAGCCAGGCTGGTAGCAAAAATGCAGTTACAGGTGTTCTTTGCAGCCCTTGAACCCTCATCATTCTTTTTAAGTCAGGATGCCATCTGTCTGGGGTTTTGTTAACAGTCATGCCCCGTGAATTTACCCACCCCCTTCCTCGCTATGTCAGAAGCTCTGCTTAGTAATTCTCATCGACAGCAGTATGACATCAGTCGCCCAGAGCAGAATGGCTCAAATGCAGCTTCCCTGCTAATTAAACTTGGCCACCGAGCCACTGAACATTGTTCTGGAGAGAGAGATGGGCTAGGACAGAGCACTGAGAGCTCCCTGGGTAGGTTCTGCCCCGAAGCATTTTGGATAAAACACAGGGTTTAACAGGCAACAACAGCCACTCTCAAAAATCATCTGACTTCAGGATTATTTCCAGCATTCCTAAATACTCAAAAGGTTATGAATGAGGGAACACTGAGAAAGTACAAATGGATTAGGCACTTGGGTACCATGTTCTCCTCTTCACATTCTTCTACTGCATCTTGCTGTTTAGGGAAAAAAAACCACCAAGCACAACAATCATTTTACAGGCCTAGCAAATCAGGTTTTATTTTGTCCTTTTCACTTGATGCTAGTATATTGCAGGAGAGACTAGGGTGGCTGACATTGTTATGCATCTTGTCCCTCTGGTTTAGCCTTTTGACACCAATTGCAGTACTGCAAATTAGAGCACTCTGGTATGTGTACAGGTGCGCTCAGAAAATTCATCTGAAGCCACATTACCTGTGTTGAGATGCATCCCTTGGTTTGAACTTGTTCTCTGTCAAGATTCTTCGTATCTTCTTTGTAGGCCTTTCTCAGTTTGAGGGTGTCTCTTTAAAAACAACATTTACTTTTATATTTTTATGGGGTTTGTTCCATCTTATGAAGCAGTCACTTTGTGATCTTTCTTACTTTAGGGAATTTTAGGTCTTGGGGAGCCTGTGTTCATGCTAACTCATGAACTAAGGAGAAAAACAAAAAAACAAAGCAAGCTTTCAAAGCCATTTTAGAAAAGAAATGCACCAAAAATACAGGCATTTTAATTAAGGAGAAATCCTCTTCAGATGTCAAACTCTACATTTATCTCTCCGGGCTTCTATTTTCCAAACTAAAGATGGAAAAAGCTATTTTTATCTCAGTTTTCTCTGGTAGGCTCGCTGAATTACTTTGTTTTCCTTTTTTCTTTTCTTTGCTAATCTGAAGAAATTGCTTATTTGTTTTTAAATGAACATACACTTATTGCATGTCTGCCTTCTCAGAATGAATCAAGTATTGCAGTGTGTTTGGAATAAAGGTGCATTTTAATAATGTTTAAGGCTGACAGAATGCTCAGATCTTGAAAAATGTTCACATTCAAAAGAAGCAGCTTTTATTTCTATGAAAAACCAAAGTCATGAAGATCACACTCTCTCTACCCTTCCTGATCAACAAAGGCTTGAGCTCTTCAGGTGACTTTATAATACAAGGAGTCCAAACTGCTGTCTTTAAATATTTTGTGATCAAAATTTTTTATCAACTCTGTAGCTTAGTAAACTGGGGCTCTAAAGTTATGATTTCTTTTTTAAGAGATTGAGGTGTAATTGCCCTCATGTCCTTTATTCAGTCTTCGCTTAGCCATTGTAGTGCAGCAACAGGCCTTCCAGTGCTTCATGAGGGTTCTGCCACACGTTCCCTTCTGCTCTGTCATCATTGACCACCTAGCAGAACAGCTCACAACTGAGGTCTAGCTGCTGGTCTGTCACTGAGATTTCTTCTTTACTTACTCACTGGTTTGCAATAAAACGCGAGCAGTTATACTGCTGTCCAAATTTCCTAGAAATGAGCCAAGGGGGTCAGGGAGGGGAGATGGGCAGACTAACACTACGCTCACCTAACTCCCGCTTCCTTAACAAAGCAACCTATAAACTTAACACACTGTAGACTGTCTTTGTATGCCTTCAATCCTACCATTCACTAAGTCCCTAGAATCTGTCTCTTTACTACTAAAGAACACACCGGAAAGCCAGTCCTTCTGGCCCCACAAACGCCCTGTTATGTTACCCAAGTTAAATCTGTTTCAATCCTTCAGCTGTGCCAGCAGCGCCCAGTAGCTGGAGCCTAGACAGCGGAACCAGAGAGGCCATGCCATTCCTGTCTGCCCACGTTGGGAGCATCTTGGCCCCACCAGTACCTCCCCGAAGCCTGCCCCATGGTAAGGAAATGCCCAGCAGGCCTGCTGCATAAAGCCTGCAGTCATGCACAGATAAATCCACACAACCTGAAAGCTGACCTTAGCCTTTCCCACCCCGCGCCCCCCTGGTCTGCTAGGTTCGCAATAGACAAAGTTTTCAATTTTTTATTTTCCAAAATCTTCAAATTTTTTACAGTCCCTATAGTAATATGGACTTGCGTGTATTTTGGGACTAGAATTAGGTGTGTGAGCGTTGGAAGTTTCGCCTGGCTTCTTGCCAATGACCATCTTCAGCAGTAATTTAAGGTTACAAAGCTACTAAATGAAACTTCAAATGTTCATTGTTTATGAGCCTGTTGCCTTGCCATGAAATCCTTGATAACAGGGGTGGGTGGAAATCTATCTCTGCGCTTAAATTCTCGTTAGCGTTTTGTGATGTGACAGAGGCACTTCACGGTATCTATCAGAAAGGAAGCCCTAGGTTGGAGTGGAGTTAATCGGCATTTGGAGCTGTTACCTGGCATTACAGTCTAAAACCCCAGCTCTTTCGCTGCAGCGAGGCAGCACAAGTGTGCATTTCTGATCCTTGTCTCATTCCAGGACACTACTCACTGCACTTTGATGCCTTCCATCACCAGCTCAGTGATGCTCCTCCGGCACTGCCTGCACGAACATTGCGCAAGGTAAAAAGGAAGTGGCAGGAGAGCAGAGAGGGATGTAGAAGGAAAATAATAGGCTCCTGAAGGACCCCTCCCCCTCCTCCACTCCCACCAAGCAGCTTTTGAATACAGAAACACTATTTTTAACATGCTAGTAACTTACACATGAGAAAATCCACTGAAAGCTCATAACCTATTCCAGAGTTGAATTCTATAGAAATAACTTAAATGTGTTGTAGGCCCTTCCACTTTCCTTCTTTGCATCATATGCTGTGATTTCAGGCACCCTGATATCACCGCAGCTATTGTTTCTTTAACAGCTCTGGTGTTAAATGCACTTGTCTGCCCACAAGAGGTACTTCCATACAAGTCAGAGGAGTACAGGTATAAACCAATAATCATTGACATTTTGGACACAAATGGAACTGCACCATTGTTAACATCACTGTCAAAAGCTGAAATGTGGAACACCGCATAACTACAGTGTCGCCTCCTTTGTCAATTTTAACCTGGTTTTGTTTTTCTCCGAACAGTCCCCTCTTCATCCTATCCCTGCGTCACCCACCAGTCCGCAGTCTGGTCTAGATGGAAGTAACTCCACTTTATCCGGCAGTGCCAGCAGTGGTGTCTCTTCCTTGAGCGAGAGTAATTTTGGACATTCTTCTGAACCACCTCCTCGCACAGACACCATGGATTCTGTCCCCAGCCAGGCCTGGAACACTGATGAAGATCTAGAGACACCCTACCTCCCTGTCAGGTACAGTCTCTCTGAGCCTGATGTCCTAGAGTCGCTCAAATCCCAGCCATGCCGAAGCCACTCTGCTCCATCTGGAGTCGTTCCTCAGGACACCATGGACCCTCCTGCTCTACCCCCAAAACCTTATCACTCCCGGCTGCCAAACATGGAGAACGAGGAGGGGATGATAATTGAAGATGATGATAAACACCGCCCATTGCATCGTAAAGTGTCCCAACCAGTGAGTGCTGGAAAGGAAGAGCAGGCCAGGGTAGCATGGGAGCATGGCATCAGTGAGCAGTAGGGACAGCTCCTGGTAAGCAGCTTGCATCATCATTCCAGGTCTGACTACAAAGGAGAGAGATAAGGACTCGGAGAACAGCAAACCGATTTTCTACTGCCGCAAGTTTATGTCTGGAGCCCACAAAAGCAATTGGGCCAGCATGGGAGGTTGCTGCTTTCCTTTTTAATTTCTTTTTACACCTTTCTGTTATGTTTTTTAACTTTCTGTGCAGTGGACAGTTTATTCCTTCTGCAGTTTCTTAACCACATCAAATGGCACACAAGCCATAGAGACTTGCAGAAGCTGAAAAATACAATTTTAAGCAGAGGGGGGAAAAAAGGGGGGAATGTGGCAAGTTGATTTTGAAACTGCTTTCCTCCCAGTTCTGAGACGCACATGAGTAGAAGCAGTTGCACTAGGGACATATTTCTTTGCTGTACAGAAGTGAAAGCTCATTGCTGAAATCAGGGATTCTATGAACTGTCAGGCTGGAAGGTGCATGAGCTGCAGGCAGTGGAAAGATGGCAATTCTAAGAAGAAATTGGCTCTTTTGAGAGCAGGATTGTACATATCTGTGCAGTGATCTCCCTGCATTGGTTCATAGGTGCTGAGGCAATCTAACCAGTGCTCATGCACTGATTTCCAAGATATCATTTCCAACAAACTCTGCCTCCTTTGTTTTTTATGTACTGTTTGATTTCTTAAATTTTGCTTTCACTGGCTAAACCAACCTGCTTTCTCATTGGGATCATACACTATTCATCTGTGCTACAGGATGAGAGGAGGTTAGTAGCCATTGGAGATGCAACCTAATTGTAGGCCTTTCCCATGCCCAGCTTTGGGCAGGCTGTTGACACCAGCATTTCTATTCCAGTTTAAAAAAAAAAAAACCAAACAAAAAAACAAACAAAAAAAAACCACCACAAAACCAAATTGAGTTTTTCATGCCACAGCTGGTTGATAACCCAGCCAGTAAAGAAAAGGTGGCTTAAATGCATCATGTCTAACAATCCTTGCCTCAGGGCTGAACATTACAATTCTCACCGACTTCCATCACCCAGGAGCTGAGATTCATTCCCTGTTAACATAATGTCCTCGGTCCGTCCCAGAATCTCACTGCAGCTGGTGTGCAGAAAGAATCTCCATCTCTCACAGTAGACAGAAAACACTAAGATTCAAGAAATGCCCAGTATATAGTGTACACCCTAGAGTCGGGGATCTTAAAGGCAACCTGTAAAGAAGCAATGTCTGTTTCCTCTTTTGCTTCTTTAGAATGTATAAAGAAGCTTTAAGAGCTTCTTTTTCTCTCTTCTGGAAGGTTGATTTCTCTTCTCCTCAGGCAGCAATACAGCCTTCTCTCCCCCTCCCTTTTTTGTTTTTAATTGACCAGCTCCACAAAGGGCTGAAGAACATCTAAAAAACCCAAACAAACAAAAACAAGAAACAGAACTATGCAGAGGTGAAGACAGTACAAGTCTATGAACACAAAACAAGCCTTTTAATCAATATTTGCTTAGTTCAGTACATGGCAAACCAAGGAAAAAAATCTGTGGGTAATAGAGCCAAGATCTGTTCTTTGAAAAGAACAATAAGAAATCTTTTATTCCTATTTTAAATATTTTTCAAGAAACTTTCAATCAAGAGAGTATAAAATATTTAATGTTTTTAGATAAACAAGCAATGTTCCTTTGTCCTACCATGCCCACACACATTTTAGCGTTCCTTATAACCCTTTCCACCTGCAGATTGCAAAGCACACTCCAGAGGATGGTAACAGACCCCCCTCTTTCCTACCACTGAAAAATCTGAAGCACATTCAAATAAAAGACTTACCTGTACCATATAAATTAGTGTCAGAAACAGGAATAGCACTCAACTTTCATATTCAATTCTTGCCCTAACCACTCAGTTTCTCATGCTACAAACAGGATAAAGAAGCAAAAAAGGATATTATAAATCTTTTACAGGTCACCTTTAGCACTACCTCTAAATACAGTGACTGGGCAGAGTACATTGCTTCTGAACACTCCTAAAGATGGTCTGTCTGTACACAGTCTGGACTCAGCAGTTATACGAAGGGGATTTTAAGAGGATTTGTTTATTTTCTTTCTCAAGCTCTAGCCCATGCAAAACTACTAAGTTATGGATTTGTTTCTTAAATGGCCTATTTGGCTGGAACAAAGTCTCTCTTGCTTCCTCTATTTTGTTATTAACACAGGCTGCTTGTAATCATTATATCCTTCACAATTAAGACAACGATAATAAAACCTGGCCTATAGTGGACATTTCATCTCTAGCAGGAAGGAGAGTTTTCCAATACAAGGACAGTCCTAAATGTTAATGAACCAAGATGGATCTCTGGTATAGAAGACATGTATGAAAACTCAACTCAAAATGATGTTTTTGGTAAAGGTAAGTCAAGGTAATTCCTCAGAAATGAGTGAAATATTTTCACATATGCTATTCTCCAATCTGGCTGAGATTCTTCAAGTGAAGTTTTTAAGAGAACTAAGTACGCAATTCCTTCTCCCCTGCCCCTTTTTTTTTGGCAGGAAGATTAGAAGTGGTAAATGTAGTGACTTAGTGAGCTTCCTTATTGCAAAAAACAGCAGGTCTTGCAAATAAAACTTTGCGAAAACAAGAAAGCAACTAACATGGGACTAAGTCCCAGTCAGCTGGAAAACCTGCCCACTGGAGCTCTAATCAGTCTCTCAAAACGTATCATCCTGCTCTGATTAGAGACATTGTACAACAGCAGTGAGTACATTTTGGGAGTCTGACATTAGTATGTATGTGTAAGGGTTTGAAGATCAATCAGATGATGTATACGAATACCCAGTTTATGGCAGGTCCGCACAGAGAAGGATGGAATAAATTGCTGAATTTATCAAATTTAAGCCTCTCTGGAGTTAAATTTCTGTTACTGTTCTGATATCTACCAAGTATTCTGTCTCCCTTTTTAGTGCTTGCCTTAAAGGGGCCAGAAGATAGAAAGACTAATACTAAAGATTTTGTGAATGTTGGAACTAATACTTCTTGGAACTAGTACTTTCTGTAGGGTGGGGTGTCTTACAGCATAGTACAACTCCAATATCAAGCTCAGTCCTGGAGTAGGTGGAAGCAACAGCAGTTGTTGCACTTGCCCAGCAGGATTTGAAGATTCCTTGTATAAACCACAGCAACAGGATGTTTTGAACAGGACCTTGTCATTCTATACTTAACTCTAATTCAAACTTAGTATGTACTTGCCTTCATTGGGTTTTCTTTGCATAATGAAATAGCATGTGTATTCCTGAGAAAATTGGTGGAATTCTGCTACAAATCTCTCCATCGTCAGTGTACCTGCTGGCCCCATCCGAAACAAAATTGAGAAGGAACTACAGTAGTACAAGAAAAGCAATTAAAACAATTTCTCTGAATCCTACAATTTTTTTTTCCAATGGTTGGGTTGTTTTTAATACTGTGTGCAAGACAAAGGTTCTTTTCCGTCTTTTCCTCTGTTTGCTTTTTAGCTTACTTACCCTTCTTTAGGTAAGGGATATTGCATATCCCTTCTGTGGGAGAATCAGCCAAAACTGGGGAGGCTGGAGAGAGCAAGAGCCTTTGGGAAACAAATTAGGCGATATTAAAAATTTCCTCTGATCATGCTTCTTTGTAAATACCCCCATTTGAATGCTGTGTATTTGTACAGGAAATTGAGCAAAAAATGTATAGATTGTGATGTCTGACTGGTATTCTGCCCTGTAAATGTGTTTTTAACCTCTGGCATTCTGTGCTTATTTAAAAAAGGCAAAAACCTCTAACCACTTCTCTTTTGTGTATTCATGTTTAAAATAAAATGAAAACAGCTATCTTATCTATAATGGAAATCAAATTTAAAAGGAAAAAAAATAATTTGTACAAGTGTCCTAAAGGTACTTCATTGTATATATTGTGATAGCATGTTTCCAGAACCAACGAATAAGTGGTGTGAATTTTAGATGTAAATATCTGCCGTTTGTTTTGGGTTTCTTTCCCTTACCCATTCACTCGACTGCTGTGATGTGGAATTAAAGATTAATACCTGATATTAAAACGGTACAACTGTATGTTCATTGCTGTCCTCCAGACAGGGTTATCCTCAGGCTGCTCCAAACGTTCACAAGGTATGTGGAAACAGCCATCGCGTCCCACTTTTGTGGGAGTGAGGAAAACGAGGGGACAACCAGAAGGACCTTGTGGCTATTATGTGTGGTGAGGGAACAGCTTCCACATATTATTCTTTTAGCTGACAGTACACTGTTTTATTTAATACCAGCTTCTTAAAGCAAGCATCAAGCATATTGACCAGCTAGTCTAATCAGTTAGGTAGATTTATATGCCACATGCAACAACAGTCTGAGATACCTGCTTGTCTATCACAAGCTTTAATACACAGTTTTGAGACAAAAAAAAAAAAACAACAAAAAAACCAACTTTCAAAGGCCAGCTATATCAGTGATTAGTTCCTCCAATATGTACCTCACTGCATAGATTGCTATTTGATGAGTGATGGTTTATTTCATTATTATTGCATCCCAGAGTCCTGAGGGAATTGGCTGATGTAGTTACTAAGCCACTCTCCATGATATTTGAAAAGTCACGGCAGTCAGGCGAAGTCCGTGGGCACTGGAAAAAGGGAAATACTGCAGCCATTTTTAAAAAGGGCAAAAAGAAGGACCCTGGGAACTACCAACCTGTCAGCCTCACCTCTGTGCCTGGGAAGCTCATGGAACAGATCCTCCTGGAATCTATGCTAAGGCACATGGAGGACAAG